GGGCAGAGAGAGAGGGTGTATCAGGAAATAGCTATGCAAATCGCATGCCTGTGAAATTACTAATACGTTGATCAGAGGCATTAACAATGCCCCGGCATTCAGGAGTATGAACCAAGAGTGAGTAAGACCGGGGCATGTTTTGGATGAGATTGCAAGAGTGTTTACTTGCATGGTTTGTTGAGCAGTCAGTGAAGTCCACGGCTGTTTGGGACCTCAGCTGCCCAATCAGTCCAGGTAGAGGGAGCCCTGTCAGACATTCCACTCTCATTAGTGACGTTTAGTGCTCTGGGCGATTTTGACAAAGAGCCAAAGTGGTTTGGCTCTCATAATCCCAGCTTTATTTTTATCTGTTTATTTTCTCATCCTCTTTCTAACAAAAGAACTGCTTACCCTTTGGGGAAGCAGAAGAACATGGACCCTATGGAAATGGTAAATGGTTGTGAGTGCCAGCAACAGCGGGATATAGCTTGGGCTATAGCACCTAGGAGCTCACAGCCCAGTTCTCCATGAGACCAGTAACACCCAGTGTGACCACAAGACAATTCATCCAGGGCATGTGACCTGTGGTTGTTCGAAGCGATATGGTCTTGGTGGCATTTAAAAGTGGTAGCTTTTAAATCTGGCCCTAGAATCTGGGCCCTTATATCTGGGTTTCCCCTTTCTAATGGCTTTATTGAGGGGAATAATTTTAAAAGGAACTGCTGGTGAAATTGCCAAGTACTAGAGCCCTTGTCACACTGTACGGCTGTATCTGCTGCTCACCATTCATCAATTAAGGTTAAAGTGTTCCTGTAAGAGCAAGTTGTACCTGTGAATGACCCTCGGTGCTCATAGGTCACACACCACATTTGCATCTCAAGTGTTTTCTGCTGGGTGTGGAGGGCTGTTTATAGAAAACCAGAATAAAAATAAATTCCAAGAGCCTTAACTTTATGTGGCAATCATGTCTTGTCAATTCACAGAAAGCTTCAGCCATGTAAATAGGCATGGAGTACAAACATGTTCTCCGAGGAATGACACTGGGTTTTGAAGTTAAAAAAAAAAAAAATCTCAGGGAATCATTTATGAATTCTTATGTTAAAATGTTGGCTCAGTGGTAAAACCACGATGAGGGGCTGAGAGCTTTTAGGCTGTTTTTGTTTTTCTCCCAAGTATTTAAAAACTGAAATTCTGTAAGAGATTATCTGCGAAATGCCTTTCTTTTATTACACCCATAAATTTTAGGAGTGGCTTTGATCAAGTGTTCTGCCAGTCTTGGTTTCTACATCTTTGACTCATACATTAATAACTAAAAACATTCATCCTATTTTTGCTAGACTGAAAGAGGAAGTTTCTAAATAGTCAAAAGGGAAACATTGAAAATAGAACAAAATAGAACGCAGTAAATGATAACTAAATTAGGGTAGGCTTCTTTTTTTTTTTTTTTTCTTTTTCTTTTTTCAGAAAGAGCAATACTCCACGCTGAAACTTGCCAGGGTATTTTAAGATTATTGTCTGTAAAGAAAAAGTCCCAGTACCTCACTGTCCTCAGAGGAAAGGCATTACAGAAACGCAGCATATTATCAGGATCAGGGAGTAGGCATAGAACAATGTCGGCCAGAACTTAAGACTTCCACCAGTGGGTTTTGCTTTCTGGCTCATATTTAAAAATACTTGAAGTTAAGAGTTAATGCTCTCACCTCCTATTGTCCTCCCATAGAGTAAGAAAGACACTATGTGTCAGTAGACCTCACAAAGAACTTCTCTAATGGATATGCAGCTGCATTGGGGGGAGGGAAAAGCCCCTCTGCAAAAAGGGCAGAAAGGGTTGTTGGCTTGCTGATGAATCAATCCAGCTTTTAGAGCTGTTTGTCTTTGTAGGACTCCAAGAACATAAATGGTATTAAAAAAAAAAAAAAATGACGGCCACGACAGGAAGAACAGGGCAGAGAGGAGGGGAAAAAAGCAACATCTAAGCCAAAAGCTATTGACCTTGCCAGTAACTGGCTACATGTTCTTTGTTTCATTATTATTTTAAGAGTGGGAGCTGAGAAGTGTCCTGCACACCTAGCTGCCTGACCATGTAACTTGTCTGAACCCATAGTGGAAGTGAATACATACAAACACCCTCTTTAATTGATTTACTTATTTATTTATTGAGTAAGCAGACCCTTTAAGAAACAAAGAGAGTAACAACAAACAGTTGTACTCTATTGTCATAAAGATAGATAAGGAAAGATTAACAGAAGAAAACAGGAATTGCATGTCAGAGTGTCCTGAACATGGAGGCAGCTTGCTTCTTAGGGGGCTAACTTCTATAGTAATAGTTGTGACTGCTTATTGGCCCTGAGGAAGATGGACAGATGGATAATTGGAGAGAAAAGGATTCTAGTTGTTTTGACCACAGAAATCCCTCACTCATCAGCCAGAAGGGGTCATGGGCATGGCGCTTTGACCAAGTTTTACTGGCTTTAATGGGTTGAATGGGGGGTCTGGTTGCCCACTGTCTAGTCAAAACTGAAGGGGCCCCACTCTGTGGGTCTAGGAGAGGCTCACAGAAGCAGGTCGTGTTTGAGAGTGTTTGGAGTTGGTGAAAGCTTGTTGTGGACTGCTGTCGGCTTTAATATGCGTACTCACTGAGAGGTGGAGCGAAGGTATGGGCATGCAGGTTCCTGACAGAAGGAACTCAGGAAAGAAATAAGGACCCTGGGTAAATGGCAATTGCCCAGGTAGCCATCCCATTGCTGATAATTAGTAGTATGGTCTGAGACTGCTGACTTCATCTCTATCCCAGTTTCCGGATCTGTAGAATGGAGAGAATAATAACACTGCTGACCTCCTGGGTTTGTTATGAGTTTTAGGGGTGTTGCTATTGGAGGGCAGAGCCATGGCCGGTGCTCAGCAAGCACCAAGAAAGGATGAGGCACTATTGTCTTACAAGGGCAACACTGCATCCATGCAAAGCACAATTGATGAGGGGCTGGAGAGATAGTTCAGTGGTTAAGAGGTCTTGCTGGTCTGCCAGAGGATCTCCTGTGTAGGGGTCTGTGAGGGAGTGAGTGTAAGTCCCTCAGAGGTCAGGAGAGGGCATCAGATCTCCTGGAGCTGGAGTTCTAGGAGGGTGGAGGCCACTGGACATTGGTGCTGAGGATTGAATTTACGTCCTCCCCAAGAGGAGTTTGCACTCTTGTAACTGTTGAGACATCTCTCCAGCATCAAAATAAAACCTTAAAAAACAAACAACACAGCCACTTGCTGACCTCTGAGGACCCAGGATTACGCTGGGTTAGCAGTTACATGTGCACCTGAAAAGCCGCTGTAACGTGGACAGCTTTACAGTGTCACATGCCTTATGTGGAACTGGTGAGAGCTTTGTGGTGTCACTTACCTCGTAAGAGCAAAGATTCAACCTCAGGGATCACTCTCCCTTCCCTAAAGCAGGGGCTTGTTCCAGGTGAGACTTGGGGTCTTGGTTTTGACACTAGCCTTCCAGAAGGGGGTAAGCATAGCATGTAGGACAGCTAGAAGGTATGGCCATGTTTCTCATGTGAGTGAATGAAATGCAAAGTTCCACTTCACCCTGACCACCATGCGCCATTCAGTATTCACTTTTCATCACTGGTCTAGAGAATGACTGCTTTCTCTACCATAGAGTAACATAGACATGGCCTGGGAGCCAGAATACTTATTAGTTCCCAAGTGCCTCAATCACAAGGCTCTCTTGGGGGGTCTTAAGAATCCGAAAGGTCTTCTGTTGCATTATGGGGGACTGGTTGCCAGTTCTCCATGCTCCACCTCTCCCCGTTCATTGATGGTTTGTGACTGACATGTGAGGCAAGGCTATGGTTAAAGCAATGGTTTGACAGTAGTCAGGAACCCAAAGTCTTGGGCTTGTCATTGCTCCAGTGTCACCTCAAGCCACTAGCTTATATTCCCAGAGCATCAGATGTAAAGTGTAAAGGTTCCCAGGGTGGCAAATATATCACGTGGTCCGACTGGCAGGTTCCCCTCCTAAGGATGTGAGGAGTGTGTGGGCATTTGTGTTTCCATTAGTCATTTGTTCATTCAACAAATTCAGGTTACACAATGCCACCTCCCTAATGTTATGCAGATGAGAGGTGAATCAAATGGTCCTACCCTTAAAGATGGCTCAGTCAGGTATAATCATACTCCTGTCAAAAAAAAAAAAAAAAGCATATGCTGAAGTACTTCTGTACAAAGAAATAGAAAGATTTGCATTTTCAGCAATGCTGCCTTGGCTGGCTCATACCTAGAACAGTCTAGCACTTGACCAATTAAGAACCAAGAGGTTCCAGAAACTGCTTCTCAACCCAACACTCCCCACTTTGATTGTAAAGAGGGCCTTAACTGCATTTTACTGACAGTAAAAATTCATATCCGCAGCAGAAAAAAAAATAGTAGGAAGTAGCAGGAACATCTTCTTCATAGAACCTTATTTAGAGTTGTGTGATCCGGATGCTAGGTGCCCCTCTGCTCTGCATTTGTAGTTCTCAGAATCTTCTGGGTCTCTGGGTTCTGAAAACAGCCTAAAAGCTGAAGGAAATCGACCCAGTTTAGGAATAGTTCTTACAGGTTCTTGGAACCTTTGTTTTGCTATTTAAAACACTGTGTTCGGTGCAAGCTCTGTCTTTAGACACAGCCTTCGGGCTTTGAGAGCTTTTCTGGAAATAAATGCCTTTTAGGTTTTAAGTGCTTTTCAAAAACGCGAGGAGGAGAAAGATGACAGTGACAAGTCTGGGAACAGAGGCCATATTGTTCTGTTTCTGCTGACTGCTGCTACTATCGCTCAGGACTCCCCTCTCAAGTCCTGTTTGCTTCTGTCTGTTCACTGCTGGGCTGCTATTTTGATAAGGGGACTCGAGAGGACATCCTACCCTAACAGTCATTAAAGTCTCAGCACTTGGGTCATTGTGAAAAAGCTCCCGAGCTACACAAAGTCCTCTAAACAAAACAGTCCACACCCTGGCTCCAGGCTGTGGACCGTAGCAAGTTCTCGGAACTGGGCTCTGAGCTCCCACCAAGGAGCCAGAGGTCAGGAGCCACCAAACAAGCTGGGTGCAGTCAGCAAGCCCAGCCAGGGAGGAGGAGAGAGCAGAGCCTTGCCTGCCAGTCTGGCAGCTCCCCCTAAGCGCTCAGAGCTCAGAGCCCATCCCACACACCCGTGCTAGTCACTGCTGTGTTTACATGAGTAATGGAGCTGCCGGGGGAGGGGAGCTGCGAGCAGCGCTGAGTGAGCCTCCTCGCTAGGAAGCCGATATCCACAGCAAGTCCAGACTTCCAGGGATGAGGCTGGGGAGCGGTCCCCTGCCGGAGCTTTCCTAAGCACAGGCATCGATCAGGCAGATGTGTGGCGACTGGAATGGGTAACGTCCATTTTTTCTCTTTGCTTGCCTTTGCGTGTGACTTTCTACTTGATATTTCCAGGCAGGTTTTCTGGGGCGGACTTTGAGACCAGAGGTTGGAAGAAGGAGAATGCGATGAGAATTGTAGTTTGGGAAGGGGTCCAGAGCCTTCAGAAACTGCTTCTTAACTTTGATTGTAAAGAGAGACTTGCCTTAACTGAGTTCCAATGACAGTAAAACTCTTATCTGCGGCAGGAAAACAAATTAGTAGGAAGTAGCATGTATGTAAATTGAGCTCACCATAAAACGTCCTAGAGCCTAAAAGCGTGTGTGTGTGTGTGTGTGTGTGTGTGTGTGTGTGTGTGTGCACACTCTGTTTGTGTTCACGTGTATATGTGAGATTAATAACAATTAAGAGGCTTCCGGTTGTTCGGATATGATTTTTTTCATAACTGCTCCTCAAAGTAATAAAAATGTGGGTGCCTTGAAAATACCAGATAGATTGGGGGGGGGAGACATTTGTCTGGAGTTGGTTAATGGGCAGCTCAGTGAGTTGGTTGGTTTTAGATTTTCTGGACTTGAGTGACTGATGAAGCTGAATGTGAGAGCTGGTGGGGGGCAGTCAGGGCACCCCATAAGCGGCCTAAGTCAATCATCATCTGTAACTATGGCTTTAATAACACACACACACACACACACACACACACACACCCCAACCCCCTTAGGAGTTGGGCTAACCCCAATGTAAGCTTTGGAATTTATTTTAAATGAGCCTCCAGATCTTCATAAAAATATATTGAGGAGGAAAAGAGAACACGCCGGCTCAATGTCTTTGCCAGATTTGCTGAGATTTGAGACACGCTGGCCACAATCTTATTTGAAAATCCATGTAATAGTAGCTTGTTACTGTAAGCACCTCTCACAAGAGTTGTCTCTCTCATCGGTATGGTAATTTGAGAAAATGATGCTGTCTCTAAACTCTTCCCAAGGAGTGATGCTTTCAGATGTTACTTTACTATGATGACATCACAGGCTGGCGTATCATTTTGGGTTGCAAAATGCAAAATACCAAACAAACAGAAGGAGCGCTCTCCAAGTCTATCCGGGGTACTTCTATTCTGACAGTGTGCAGTGGGGGTTGGATGGGGGGGTGGAGCATGGGGGTGGGTGTAAAAGGGGGCGTGCATGTCTTCCTTGTCACTCTCGTTTTACTTATATGAATTAGACCTGGGGATGTTGATAGCTTAGCATCTACCAAGGTCCCACCCTTCAGAGATAGCAGCATCCAATGAGAGTTGGTGGCTGACACGTGCGAGTCTTGGCCCTCGGAGCAAAGCACTATAGTAACCTTCTGTGTCTTTTAATGAGAATGTATGACGATTATTCTCCATTTATTTTCAGCGCCAAATCTTAAAGGCAGACCACGCAAAAAGAAAACATGTCCCCAGAGACGAGATTCCTTCAGCGGCTCGAAGGACTCCAACAATAACTGTGATGGTAAAGCGATCAACAAGGTACAGTCTGTCGTCAGGTGGAACTCCTGATTGATGCTTTTTTTTGATTTTCCCCTTTGACCTCTCCGATAACTGGTGTCTCGGTGGCCGTGTTCCATTCACAATCGGCCTTTGGTGTTCGCAGCTTCTGGAGCTTTAGGCCATGTCTGGACTGGACACTTCCCAAGTGGCTAGGGGTGGGGAGAACCTGGTAGGAGGCAGGATTTTGATTAGTCAACAGAATGACTTCCCACCTCCTGGTTTGGCTTGTTGGGTAAAGGACGTGATTAAGTGCCCTCGTCACTGAGGCTGAGATTTCATACTAGATGACACAATGACATAGTTTACTCTGCTCGTGTCAAAAATAGATCAGCTAAACCATCCTGTCTCTGAGTGTACGCATCTAAATATGCTTCAGAGATTAACTGGGGATGAAATTAGAAGTGGCTAGAATTAATCTTTTTGGTCATGTTTTTTTTTCTCCCCAAAGTCACCTCCAATTCATATTAGAGTGAATTAGAGATGCATGGAAAACTATTTATATGTATGCACACTCTCATAGAGGTGAATCTGTGTTTTAAAGATCTCTCTGGATGCACAAGGAAAGCCTCTGCCTTACAGGCCTGTTAGCCCATTTTGAATGAGCATTCTTTGGAATCTTTGAAGTGTCTGAAGTATTCAGTGAAGTGTCACTTCATATTTTTAGACTTATCTTTTTTACTTTTTTGAGCTTAGGTAACATTTCCACATGCTGGCTCTTGGGTGTCTGTGTTTCGTGTTGTTTCTAGGCCAAAGACAGTTCGAATCCATCTCGATCAGAATCAAAGATCAGCTGGGAACTGGCAAAGCATTTCCAGAACCATGTGCTAAGGCGCTGTGTATGGGCATGTGGGGTACTGGTGAAGATTCTCCCACAGAAAAGAGTGGGTTGGGTTTCATATTGCCTGCCTGCGGTGGGTTGGACTGTGTCCTCTACCCCCTTCCCAGTGTGTCAAAGTGAACTGTGGACTTTTACATTCCATAAATCTTATCTTCAAGTATTACTCTTACCACAAAGTTCTGAGAGCTCTTTGGTTAGGATTTTGTCATGCTCCCAAGACTTCAAAGGGTTTGTAGTTTTTTTTTTCAAGCCCATCTACAGAAGTATATGTTTTTTTTTTTTTTCAATTTTCTGTCTAAATACAAGCCTAGCATTCTCTGAAGTTGCCTAACCCCTTACACCTTTAACCTCTCCAAGCGAACACACGTGGATACCATGAAGGGCATTTTCTTGTGATTTGAGCAGCTCAGCCCTGGAACCGCCTACCTAGTGCCTTGGTGTCTATGGCCTTGAACAATGGCAGCATAATCGATTCTTTCCCTGAAATGCAGCCCAAGAGTCCTGCAAGGTAACACAGATGGCGCAAGGTCCTATAATCGTGACATTCAACAGAGAACACAGTGTACATGATGTGTTTCTTCCGGGATAGTCTAAGTCTGAGCCCACCAGGATGACGTGTTGATGATCCGTGTTATCTGGAGTGACTACTGGTGTGTGGGAATTACAAAATTCATATGAGGACTCACAAAACAGAAGAAATAGACAGCTACTGAGCACATGGGTTGTGCTAAATGTTTACCGATTTACCTTCTTTGTGAGGGTGACAGCCAAGTCTGGGTTCTTCTTCACCCCTCCTCCCACTGGTCCTGCCACTGAAAATGGTCACCATGGGACAGACCATCCTTCCAACATTAGCATGCTGTGGTGGTCAGCTCTTGGGAACTGGTGGAGTATCTTAGCTTCTCTTGGAGCCTTGGATTACAGTCTTGCCTTGGATACTTTCAGTGTATCTGGAGAAACCCACTAACTGGGAAAGATTAATTTTAAAGTGTGGTGAGCATGTCTGTTGGCAACTATCTGGAAAATCCTGCAAGAGTAACAAACCATCCTTGAGCCCATGAGAGCCATTTAAAAAGGCATTTGGGTCTTAAAGTGGTCTTTTGCCATGGAATGTTGCAGTAAAGATGCTTAGTCTGTGACCATCTGCTTATTTCTGGAACCTGAACCAATATTTTACATGATGGCGAGCTGCTTGGCTCTCAGACCTGTGTGTATTTTCAAAAGTGCCTCAGACAGACCATTTCTAACTGTGGCTAAGTGCCAGCCTCCTGCAGCTTCCCACACCAGAACTTCCAGCATGGATGTACTGTTTTTCCTGTGGTCATGATGTCACCTTCAAAAGGTTCCACTCTTGGCTGTGAAGAGAGTAGCATCTTTGTCACACACTGTTTTCCCTGAGAGAGAGAATTATGTGGCTATCTGAAGACATGTGTCTCATGAGGAGGAAACGCACCCAGCCCTGGGAGGGCACTGTGACAAAGATTAGCTCTGGAGCCATTTTCAACAATAAGATCTATGACCAAGGCTTGATCGACTGTACTAGAGGGGTCTTCTTGGCTTAAATCTCTAGTGATAAAACCTCTAGTGATGAAAAGTAAATGTGTGTGTGTGTGTGTGTGTGTGTGTGTGTGTGTGTGTGGCATTTTCTAAAGACTAGACTTGTAGCAGGTGGTTTCCATGCTGGAAGGAACATGGAAAGAAAAAGTATGCTACGCTGTGTGGCCTTACATTATAGCATGTCCTTGGCATTTCATGTTAGGAGTATGGTGAATGCATTAGTTTCAGTGTCATTCATCTCACTGGGTCCTCAGAACTATCCCCAGGGATTACCGCTCTTGCTTTACCTAGAAGCTGAGGGTAGCCTGTTCCTTGCTGGTTTGCCACAACTGGTTATTCCCGCTGATGGAGAGAGCAGTGGTAACTCAGTTCTGTAGAAGAATGTGGTTAGTATCAAATAGACATACTGCTTCATTGAGAACATTATATGGTGCTTCTATAATTAGCATGCTGCCAATCACTCTGAAAACTCCAGAGCTTAGTGAGCTCAACAGGTGTGTAACACTCAGGTCAGGACAGTAACTGCCACACCTTAAAGGTCATACTTTCTCAAGGTCACCACGAAGACTGCCTGCTGTTTCCATTTTAACAACTGAATTACTGTCATTCAGTAGATGGAATTGCTGAGAGTGTTTTGAGTGAATGTGGGGGGAAACACGTAGACAATAACTTGACCGAGTCTTACTAGGAAACAAAATTCTCACTCTCACTGAGAAACTGATGTGCAGAGCTAGCCTGAGATGCAGACCACCACTCATTTGCTACCTACTTGGTGAGCATCCTCCATCCGCTTAGCGGAACCCTTGGAATGCAGGATGGAGTTCAGTAGGTGGCAGCATGGCCTCACTTGGAGCCTTTTTCATGAACAGGGAGGGTGGGCCACTTCAGCCATGACTTCCTACCCCATATGCTTTCCTTCCGTTTCTGGTATTTCTACCCTACACATACAAGCAGGGGTTTAACGGGCTATATGTCTGCAAACCTCAGGGCTCCCTACCCAGGGTGCTCCTGTCCTCATAACAGAGATAATTGATCTGTTATCACTGCCAGGTTAAGCTTCAGACTGCTTCACACACAGCTCTTAGCTCTACTCCCCTGCATGTGAGATGGAGGCTTGGAGGGAGGCAGAACTGAATCCCAACTTGGGCATTTATACTTCAGTAGTCAGTCATGCACCAAGATCTCCAGCCTCAATGAGCTTGTTTGCTCTCCTGTAAAATGGGTCCAAACAACTGCCTTTTGCAGCCCCTGTGGACACTGACACAGTGTATGTGAACATAGCAAGGTTGCGTAGCTCTGTGTTGGCATCTCATAGGTATGGGGTTCTTTCCCTTGATTGGCTGTGGAAGAAAAGAAGCTCCTGCAACCCGAAAACCACATAGTTTTGTTTCCTATGTGACTAGATAAACCACAGTTCTCGGTGGTAGATGTTGCAGTGCCTGGAAATATAAGATGTGCTTTTTAATTGAAAGTGTGTTTGGACTACCAGCTTTATTAAGTTTATCATATGTACTTAAACATGTTACTCATTTTGCCTGTACTTCAGTGTCTACATTTTTTATGATGATAATAACCCATTTCACTAGAACTGTGAACATGAAAGTTAGGGAGCTAGGTAGCTCAGTTGCTTAAAATGCTTGGCTTACAAGCATGAAGAACACACACACACACACACACACACACACACACACACACACACACACACACGGCAAAGCTGGGTGTGGTTGCATGTGCTTATTGCATGTGCATATTGGAGAGGCAGAGAGAAGCAAGCAGGTCTCTGGGGCTGGCCGGACTCCTACTAACCTAGTCATCAAGATCAGATCCCAGTGACAGAATGAAATATGTCACTCAGCTCTCCAACAGCACTTGGGCACCAATGTAAACAAATAAGGCAATACAGATAAAAACAAGGATGGCTTTATCATTTTAGAGGCAAGTGCGTAAACTTAGACCCACCAACCCAAAACTTGGCGATGAAAGTTGAGGATGGTACAGAGTCACAAAATGTCAGTCTTCCTGTATCATGTCACAAAGTGTAAAAGTTTAAGAATATTGCCAGTAAATATTCTACATGGAAGAAAATAGTACATGTTTGCATGCTATTTCCACAGCCCCTTAAAAAAATTAAAATCCACTCTAGTGGCTCCAGTGAGTTGCCCAGGGAGTTTTATGTTTGTGAGATCAGTCTGAAGAAATTAAAGCAGTGTACTCACTTGAGAGAAGGAGCAGTAAGGGAGCCCTCCTAGGGAGGATGTGTTCCCCTTTAATGCATAAACAGATCCCTTTTCATCTGCTTAGCGCTCAGAAGGATCTGCGGAGGCTGGGAAATCGGAAACAGAACAGTGTAGAATCTGTGGGACATTTTTATTCCCAGCGTTCCCCGGCACTTGCCCTCTTCCTGCCTGATGTCAGCCAGGAGATGCAAAGAATATTGGAATGTACACATTCCCCATGGGTGCATTTGAACTTTATGTCTGACCCTTTGTACTTCCCCCTTTCACAATTAAAATAACTCAGCAACTTAGCATTATATTTAACAACCATCAAAGGCCTCTGTACAACATGGCCGCAAGGAGGGAACACTAGGTTAGCCAAGCTCCAAAGCCTGCCCATGGTGTGGAAGGAAGAACTATGGAGCATCGGCCTCCATTTATGTCTTAGTTGGGGTGTAGGGAGGCTTTCTATTTGTTCTACTTGTGGTTTTAGCTGCTCTCTACTCTTTCGTTTCTGGCAAGAGAACATTTCCTATCATATTCTCAGCTGACGGAAAAACCACCAAGTTGTCATTAAAACGTTTGCTTTTAGGTATACTGCGCAGGGTTATATGCAGGCATCACCTTCATGTGATACATGACAATGACCGTGCTGGTGCATCCCAGCATGGAGAGTTCTTCCAGGTGTCTAGAAAGAGAAAGGGGTTAAGAAATAAATGTGTTTTTCATTTTTTTATATGATATATACAGCATCAGGCTATTTAAAAAAAAGGTTTTATTAGTGACATTAATGGTGGCACCCCTTGGGAAGATAAGTGTATCAAGTCGTTCTATGGGACTTCAACACTGTTTCTGGTTTGACATGAATGCACTATCAAGTACACAAAGGACACTGGCACAACCAGGTCAACTGTGGCCCTCTGGAGACCTGTTTCTCAATAAAATTTTATTGACATTCAGTCCCACCAGTCATTTATAGATCAAACCCATGCTAGACTTGAGTACTTGCCACCAAAGCCATAGGGCATAAAAGCCCACCATGTTTACAAGATGGCCCTTTACAGAACTTCATTCCCATTGTCTAGGACAATTCTTACTCAAGGCTGTCTTTTGGTGCCTCTACCTTGCTGTTTCCCCCCTCAGGGGAAAGTGTCACTTAGATATGTCTTGGCAAGCCTTCCAAGGCTAGGCTTGATTTGATATACTGTTATTATCCTTTTTCCAGGTGAAAGGCGAGGCCAGGTCAGCCTTGACCAAGCCGAAGAATAACCATAGCAACTGTAAAAAAGCCTCCAATGAAGAAAAGCCAAAGCTGTCCATTGGCGAAGAATGTAGGGCAGATGAACAGGCCTTCTTAGTGGCACTTTATAAATACATGAAAGAAAGAAAAACACCCATAGAGCGAATTCCCTACTTGGGTTTCAAACAGAGTAAGTACACTTGTTTTTGTTTCTGAAATATCAAAATTGCTCAGATTCTTTGAATTTGCAAGGGGTGGCGGGGAGGGGGGTGAGTAGAATTTTTTTTCCTTTGGACTTTTAGTGATTATGTTGAAACCCTAATCTAGGCAGGGTGTTTTCTGTTTATAGTAGATCCACAAATTGTCTAAGCCAAGAATTTTCTCCCTGCCTCTTTCCGCTGCATTGTTGCCTTGTGGGACAATTGCGGGGATATTTATAGGCCCGAGTCCGAGGATGATGACTGGAAATAGACGTGTTGAAAGCTTCTAGCTTTCTGTTTTGTCAATCTGGAGTGTCTGTAACGCCTTTCTTGTGAGATAATGACGATGATGTTGTAGCCTTATCAGGCCCAGATGTTGCCTGTTGGGAGACATCGTCTAAAAGGAAGACGTTAAAAGTGGACAAAACAGCCACAAAGGAAAAAAAAAGAAAAAAAGAAAACACTCCCTTAGTCTTAAACTTTTTTTTTTCTTTTTTCCTTTCTTCTTCTTTTTTAAACCTGAATTCACAGCCAGCATGAAATCAGTCCACTTTAAGGGAAGTCCTAGTTTGGAGCAACTTTGAGTTAACTGTACATTTAGGTGTTTTGTGTGTACAAGTGAGAAAACCCTTAGCCTGAGCAGAGTTCCATTGAAAAAGAGAAGAAAATCCAGACCCTGCCCCCGGAGTTCACAGCCAAATGTATATTTTGCTCTGTCTGGATTTCCTGGTGCACAAAGCCATGAGCCCCTCTGGCTTGAAATAGCGTTTTCTCCAAGTGCTTCTTCCTAGATTAAAACCATGTGTCATTTTGATGAAGAGCGTCAAACCTGTATGTTTTACATAACAATTTACATAGCTAATAGCAATTGGCACTGATTGCACGAGAACACTGGCAGCCATTATAAACTTATATAACCACAGATGATTACAATGTTTGTCTGAAAACTGGCTGCTCGAAATAGAAGTAAAATCAATGTTCTGTGCAGAGATCTGTCCCATTATCAACAATTCAGATGAGCCCAAGGCCGAGGCAGGGCTCTTGATAGCTTGAAACAACGCAAGGTTTAGCACAGCTTCGCAAATATGTTGTGTCCCAGAGCCTTTTTTGTTTTGTTTTGTTTTTATTGTTTAGTTCCCATTTTGCTCATTTCCTTTACCAAAGGGTTACTTGAAGTCCAGTAATTTTCACATTCCAAAGGATCTTGTACAAAATGAACAATAAAAATATCTCAATATTGATTGATCACAACCGCCTGGCTGTGTAAACACTCAGATTCTATACACACTATTTTTTTTTTTTAAGAAAAAAGATACATTTTGTTTCTTAGCATCACACAAGCACAGTTAGGGAGCTCAGTGGGCTTGTGACTCCAACTCTCTGTGAATGACTAGCTTCCCTTACTGTATTACTCATGCCTTGGCATGTGACCTGCAAACTCTCTACTCACGTGCCCGCCACGTGTTGGCAAAATTACAGCATGATCCTTTAATATAGCCTCACTATCAAACAGTCTAAGAAGGTAATCGTGTATAAAACTGACTGTTGATCACAGAGAAATCTTATCTGAAAGGAGGCCTTTCTACCCCATCAAAGGGGTTTCTTTCTGAGAACAGAGTGAGACTCACCCCGTTCTGAATTCCCACACATTCCCCAAGGTCCTTCCAATGTGTTCTCTTCTTCTGCGGATGATAGTATAAACAAAATTATGCTGTTTGTCCTTAAAGTTCAACTGTCTCTGTGGCCTTGTAACCATCTCTCAAGAAATATTTGGAAGCGTCAAGCATAGTAGATCCTGTAATGTTGAATGCCCCTCGGGTGAAGAGTGAATTGTTTTCCTAGAAGTTTAGGTCTCTGGGGTACAGCTGATTTGTATTTTTCTTTCTCTTTCTCATTGAAAAAACAAAACAAAATGTTTGAATTGACATTTCTTGGAAATGTGTTAATGCAATGCTTATCTAAATACTTATTGTCCCTCTAACAGTTAACCTTTGGACTATGTTTCAAGCTGCTCAAAAACTGGGAGGATATGAAACAGTAAGTGTTCAAGCGACTTAAATGAAATAATTTCACAATCTGACTCCCCTCTACCCCCTTTACCCCCTCTTCCCCCCCGTCCCCTCTCTGTGGCCAAAATGGAGGAAACTCAAAAGCAAGCCCTCATTGACTGCCTTTCCCAATGGCTCTTACACTTTGGGGGGTTTATTGGGCCAGTTTTGGAAACGGTCCCAATTAGTTCCAGGTTTGGCAAAACTGTAAACTTGTCGTAAAAACTACAAGTGGAAAACATATGTAACTCTCCCCTGTCAGGGAAATTAGTTGGGTCTGTAATTTTTTCCCATGTTGAGAAAGGGCTATTATTGTACAACAAGCCAAGATTGCATAAAAGAAATCTCCCTTGGCAACCTACCTGACATCTGTTCATGTCTAATATGGGAAATGTATTAAAGGCTTTCAGAAGTAATCAGGGTTGGCCATTAAGGAATAGAATACAGCAGAGCCTCCTCTCATTCTAGGGCAAAGAAGCTTTATTAGACAAGGGTCACTGCTACATAAACAGGAAGTTATCAAATTTATTCAGAACAGGCTCTGACATTCTTTATCAGCTAATTCTAACTGACAGGAGTGGGTTATTTTTAGCCCACGGGAAAATTTGATGGCCATGGATTTTTACAGCATGTATTTCTGAGCCAATAAAATGTTAGAGAGACAAACTAAGATTAAGATCTTGAAATATGAAAGGAAAAAAAAAAGGATCTGTGTTAACGTAGCACAGAGAGATGACATCTGTAATAAAATTAATTGACATTAGGAAGATGGCGTCACTGGGAATGTTTTCTCTCCCACACAATGATCAGATTAAGTCGTATAGTTCCTTCGGCAATTGAGTGGGAAATTATTTCTTTTCTTCCCTTACAAAGTAGTCTGAGAGACCTCTGTATTGTAGTGAAATGACAGCAACAGACACAAAGACAAGAAAATGATATTTATTCTACCCCAAACTCCAAAACCAGTGGTCCTTGCCATATCAGGAATATTGTTTCTCAAATTAATACAATGGTTTGATGTCAGAGTCTGGGCACAGGAAAACACAGGAAGTGCTATTTGGGTCAGATAATCTGGTATTTACCATAGAGATATCTGCTAGGAATTTTGACTAAAAAGTATTTGATGTGAGTACAAGGACTTATAAACTGCTTCATGTATGGGGGCATATATGCCTATAAAGAAACTAGCATGTGGACACACATAAAATACTCATTTCATAGATGCAAGTTTACTTGAAGGGTTGGTTTTATAAAAGTAGCCTGTGGAAAACTAAATATTTTTGGCTCAATCTGCTGATGGATTAGGAGATGGACTCCTTGCCATAGTTACAGCTCGTGGTTCTGCAAAGTCTTGAGCTAATTATAGCTCTCCTCTGTGCAAAAAGATGAAAACTTAGTCCTGTAAGCTCAAGAGTCACCTTCGCAAGCTAGTCTTGTAAGCTGATCTTTCAACATGAAGAATATGAGGCTGCACTTTTATGAACTGTGACCACAGTTGGTTACATGATATTTGCTCAACATTATGAAATGTCGTTTTCAAACTCTGGAGCTTGAGGCCATGAGCAGCCTTCACAGAATTAGTGTTTCTGTCTTTCGCATCTCTTGTGTCTTTACAAGACACCAAGTTGGTGTGGAACATACAGAGGAAAATTCTGATAAATTTGGGGACCTCTGCAGTACTGCTGAATGAATAGGACTTATTCTTTTATTGACTGATTGAATGAATGAATGACCATAATCAGCAAGTCACCTGACCACTGATTTAATGGCCACCATAATATGCATTTGAGGCATATATTAGGACAACATGGGAAGAAGGAAAGTTCTAAGCTAGCCATCGGGTCCTTAAAGTACTTTCTGTCAAGGGCTTCAGTCATTAAACTGCAAGGGAAAATTCAAACATCCATTGCCCTGTAGAAACAAGGAGCTCTCCCCTGAAGAAACAAGGGAAGGTGCCTTTATGGCTCATATGTGCTTGAGATGACCTGCAGATAGGTGTGTTGGATTTGGGATGTTCTAAGATGTTCTGGAGATGCAGTTGATGTTTTGGATCCAGCTACAAATTATCATGGCTTTCCTTAGGGAGAAAATTTCAGTATGGAGGCAGAAAACCTGTACAGAGAGGTCAGGCAAATTAGAGTGACCAGTGACTGGGGACAAAGAGCTGAGAAGAGGAGTCTTCATTCCTCCCTCCCTCCC